GGGAGGACAAACAAACAACAAACCCTCACACTCTACCAGAAGCAGCAGCACATTTCACAAACACTGTGGAACTGGGTCAAAGTAGATTGGGTGTTTCAGTGGAGCTTTTTGGCTCTTTCAGCTAAAGCTGATTCAATCAGCTATTAGATAAAAGCACCAAAAAAGCCCCACTAAAGCACCTGATCTCTACAGGTGTTGAGAAAGCTGAGTACAACTAATGTGCTGCTTCTTCTGGCCATGTGCTGGGCTTGGCGTGGGAGAGTGCAGAGTTTAAAGTAAAATGCCATTATTGGGGTTTTTTCCACATCTGCAGCAGCCTATGATGTTTAAAAATAATGCATCTGGGGTCTTTTTCATTGGTCTTCTGACTTCTGAACTTTAAGGCTTCACATTTTCAAGTTTCTCTCTGCAAATGTGGTGACTAGGAACTTACTTTGTCCTTAAATTAATGTTGTAGTCACATGACTCCAAGATCTAGGGCTTTAAAAGAAACTCCAAATATGGGAAGAGTTGGCAACACTGAGGTGTCACATTACTGTGCTAGTGATTAGCTCTGGTCCCCCAGAGAGCCTATCAGACTGAATTACCACATGGTCCTTAATCATAAAAATCACAAAAAAATAGTACTGGAAGAACTGCAGGAGGCCAGCTAATCCAGCCATCTGCTTAAAGCAGGATCAACCCTGGCCAATCCATCCCTGGCAAAATGTTTAATTAATTGTACAACTTAATGAAGTTAGTAACATAGACCCATAGGGCTAGTAGTAACGACAGGAGGTCATCAAGTCTGATCCCTGCTCAAGGCAAGATCATCTCTGTCTAAATCAGGGCTGTCTATCTTCGGAGTGTCCAGGGGCCTCCAGCCATACAGCGCACATGTTGCACGCCCCCCTGGCTGCATGCTGAGGGCCACATGCCACACTACACTGCACCCCTCTCCCCCACAACTGTACATCCCAGCACCTGGCATACCACACCACATGGATCCTTCCCACCACAACATGCAGCAGGCATGCCACTATACCATGACAGCACCCCATGCTGTGCTGCACAGGGGCCCTGGGTCCAGTCAGGTCACCTGGCCATGGACTCCCTTAACCCTGACCCCAGCTGGAGATGAGAGGGGTAGCTTGGAGACTCTGGCAGCAGCAGCTGCTGAAGCGGTAGGGGGAGCTATGCCTGGACTGGAAGTCTGAGGGCCACATGCACCTCCAGTTAGATTGCCCCGGTCCCAGACAAGTGATTTTCTAACCTGCTCTCAGAAACTTCCAAGGATGGAGCGTCCACAGCCTCTCTAGGTAATCTGTTCCAGTGCTTAACCACCTTCATAGTAAGAGGTGTTCTTCCTAATCCCCAACCTAAATATCT